GGGGTGGCTGCGATCTGCGAAACTGTCGCCGCTTTCGTAGGCTCCTGGGAGGTCCAGAGGAGGTGTGTCCCACGCAGATCACCATGAGACCTTGCCGTTCCCTGGGGGGCCGCGATCTGTGAAACTATCGCCACTTTCGTGGGCTCCTCGGAGGTCCAGCGGAGGTGTGTCCCACGCAGATCACCATGAGACCTCGCCGTTCCCTGGGGGGGCTGCGATCTGCGAAACTGTCGCAGCTTTCGTGGGCTCCTGGGAGGTCCAGAGGATGGATGTCCCACGCATATCACCATGAGACCTCGCTGTCCCCTGGGGGGCTGCGACGCATCTGCGACACTGTCGCCGCTTTCGTGGGCCTCTGGGAGGTCCAGCGGAGGGGTGTCCCACGCAGATCACCACGAGACCTCGCCGTCCCTTGAGGGTCTGCGATCTGCGAAACTGTCGCCGCTTTCGTTGGCTTCTGGGAGGGCCACCGGAGGTACGTCATGTGCAGATCACCACGATCTCGCTGTCCCTTGGGGGGCTGCGAGCTGCGAAACTGTTGCCACTTTCGTGGGTTTTGGGGGGGCCACCGGAGGGGTGTCCCAGGCAGATCACCATGAGACCTCGCCGTCCCCTTGGGGGCTGTGATCTGTGAATCTGCCGCCGCTTTCGTGGGCTCCAGGGAGGTCCAGCAGAGGGGCGTCGCAAGCAGATCACCACGAGACCTCGCCGTCCCCTGTGGGGGCTGCGATCTGCGAAACTGTCGCCGCTTTCGTGGGCTCCTGGAAGGTCCAGAGGAGGGGTGTCCCACGCAGATCACCATGAGACCTCGCCGTCCCCTGGGGGGCTGCGATCTGTGAATGTCGCCGCTTTCGTGGGCTCCTGGAAGGTCCAGCGGAGGGGTGTCCCACGCAGATCACCATGAGACCTCGCCGTTCCCTGGGGGGCTGCGATCTGCGATTCTGTCGCCACTTTCGTGGGCTTCTGGGAGGGCCACCGGAGGGGTGTCCCACGCATATCACCACGAGACCTCGCCGTTCCCTGGGGGGCTGCGGTTTGCGAAACCCTGCGGGGCTGCGATCTGCGAATCTGTCGCCTCTTTCGTGGGCTCCTGGGGAGGTCGAGCAGCAGCGTCGCTGTCGCGAGTTCGACTGTTCACTCATAGGCGCCAGAATTCATAGGCCAGAATTCATAGGTTCGATTGGCGAAAGGTGCCAGAATTAATTCATAGGCCATTAATCGATGTCATCTCATCTGTACCTTTTTGGCACAACGCGCTCGAGTGTCGAGGCCACGTGCAGGGTTGCTAGCCCTGCAGTGCCAGAAAACATCCTGAGCTGAGAACCGTACGCGTTCTCTTTTACCGTGCGTGTGAGTGTGCGTGTGCGTGTGCGTGCGCGTGCGCGTGCGTGCGCGCGTGCGCGTGCGTGCGTGCGCGCGTGTGTTCGTGTGTGTGTGTGTGTGTGTGTGTGTGTGTGTGTGTGTGTGTGTCTGTGTCTGTGTGTGTGTGTGTGTCTGTGTGTCTGTGTGTGTGTGTGTGTGTGTGTGTGTGTGGGTGTCTCTGTGTCTGTGTTTCAACGTGTCAACGTGTCAACGTGTCCACGTGTCAACGTCTCTGTGTGTGTGCGCCCAGGGCCGCGCGCGGGCGCCATGCCGCGGACGTGGGAGCCGTGGCCGAGCCGCCCTGGCTGCCGTGCGAGGGCCGGTCACGCGGCGCCCTCGGGCGGACCAGGCTGTCAGTATCACTTACAGTCAAGACGCTCCTCCTCCTCCCTCCTCCTCCTCCTCCTCCTCCTCCTCCTCCTCCTCTGCCTCCTCCTCCTCCTTCTCCTCCTCCTCCTCCTGCTCCTGCTCCTGCTCCTGCTCCTCCTCCTCCTCCTCCTCCTCCTCCCTCCTCCTCCTTCTCCTCCTCCTCCTCCTCCTCCTCTGCCTCCTCCTCCTTCTCCTCCTCCTCCTCATTTACAGTCAAGGCGCTGAAATAGGGAACAGTTTGGGTTCGGAAGAGGCCCGATGTTCCTCAGGCTTCTCCAGTGCTGTTCCTCTTGCCCTCCTGGGGCACGGAGGCGCTTACAGGGCCAAGAAGGGGCTTCGTTCTTTATTTAGCGTTCCTTCTTTCAGCGGCCCGACTGTAACCGACCCCCATCCCCATCCCCTTCCCCTTCGAGACTCCCACCAAACTATCACCCCAGTTGAGGATGCACCCTTCGAAACCCGACGGGGACGACCTATATCCCCATCTGGGGGTGTAAATCGGTCAGTGGGGAACCCAGGCCACGCCGCTGGGGATGGGGATCGGTGCGCGCGGGCCCTGCGAGCGGCGCGGACCCTGACGTCCCTGACGCCCCCTCGCGTGGTGAAGAAATGACGACGGGAGGTTTTGCGCTGTTTTCGGCCTCCGGGGGTCCTTGCGGGGACTCGGGACCGTTTAACAAGGACTCAGGACGAAAAACAGGTCCCAGGGAAGTGGTCCAGACCTCTGGGGGTCGACGTTATGAAAAAGTCGTTATGCTAACGGAGTTTCCCACATGAGGATGTTGAGGGCTTCGTGGGGCCAATGAGGCAAAATAATAGCAATATGAATGGAATGGCCATCGCAAAAGTACGTGCGAAAGAAACGGCAGACGGAGTCAAGGGTGAGGAGCAGCAGGGAGGAAGACGACGGCTGTTCAGGACGCACGTTCGTCCCTGGAGGAGAGGGAGGGGCACGAAATCTGAGACATAAGATGGTTTTCGAATACGAGCCCGTTTCCTTATTGCTTTGGGCATGGCGGGCGTCATGGCCCCAGTGCGCTCCCGGCACTGCCGCCGTGCGCATTGGGATCCGAATAGGTGTCCGCATAGGAGTCTGGTCCGCAGTCGCCGCCGTCGTCGCCGTCGTCGTCGTCGTCGTCGTCGTCGTCGTCGCTCGTGGCTCGTCGCTCGTCGCTCGTCGTCGTCGCGCGCGCGGACACGGCTGGAGCCTTTTTTTTGGTATTCCGGGCCGATGACGGCAATCATCCAGGGGGGGGAGGGGTCGATGACGTGGCGTGTCGCGCCGGCGGCGTGCAGTTGGCGATCTGCACCACAGCGCCTGTGTACACCACAGTGCCTGCGTGCACCACAGCGCCTGTGTACACCACACCGCCTATGTACACCACAGCAGCCGCGTGCAACACAGCGTCAGTTTGTGCCACCGTGCCTGCGGGCACAACAGCTCTTGAGTACACAGCGCCTACGTACACCACATCAGCCGTGTGCAACACAGTACCAGTGTACACCACATTGCCTGCGTGCATTGCAGTTCCTGTGTGCACCACGGCGCTTGTGTGCACCGCAGCAACCGTGCGCAACACAGCACCACTGGCGTATATAGAATTTACGACGGCATCCTTGTGACAAAATGGAACGCTTGTGGATTCCAGAGAAAACAATAGAAAGGAATCTTTATGGACAATGGAGCGCCGCTGGAATCTACGAGTCCTCTCGAGTCCGCCCGCATCACTCTAACTCCTCTCACTTGCGTCCAGGAGGCTCCAGCTAAATTGGCCGTCCGAGAATCGAGTGGACCGATTCAATATACCATTCTGCGGTGCACGCTGAGATGCGCACGTGCTGTAGCGCCAACCCGCACGAGAAGAGGAGGAGGAGGAGGAGGAGGAGGAGGAGGAGGAGGAGGGAAAAACGTCGCATCCGAGTACCAGCACTTTCTTGGCGTGGCGTTTGGTTGTCCGCAGCAAATCCTCACGTACATGCTCTCTCTACCTGTCCTTTGCACGCAGGCATTGTGGTGTACACCAGCGTTGCGTTGCACGCGGATGCTGTGGTGTAGACAGGCGCTGTGGCGTGCACAGATGCTGCGGTGTACGCAATCATTGTGGTGTACACAGGCGCTGTGTTGCACATGGTTGTTGCGGTGTACACATGTACACTGGCGTTGTAGTGTACGCAAGCACTGTTGTGTACACAGGCGCTGCGTTGCACACGGCTGTTGCGGTGTACGCAGGCGCTGTGGTGTACACGCGCGTTGTGGTGCACGCGAGCGTTATGGTGTACAAAGGCGCAGTGGGACAGATCGCCACCTACATGCTGCTCGCGTCGTCGTCGTCGTCGTCGTCGTCGTCGTCGTCGCTCGTCGCTCGTCGCGTCGTGCGAGTGGGCGCGGCCGTGCCGGAGCCACACGACGGGGGGGGCGGCGTTACGTCACACCCCCCTCCGGCTCCCCCCCCCATGACGCCTGTCATCGCCAAACATAAGGAAACGCGCTCCATCCTCTTCGCTCAGGCGGGGCCTCCCTGGAGGAGTGGGAGGGGCACGAAACCTAATGAAGAACATGGTTTTCGAATACCCTCTTCGCTCAGGCGGGGCCTCCGTGGAGGTGTGGGAGGGGCACGAAACCTGATGAATTATATGGTTTTCGAGTCCCCTCCTCGCTCAGACGGGGCCTCTCTGGAGTATTGGGAGGGGCACGAAGCTTGATCAGTAATATGGTTTCCGAATACCCTCCTCGCTTAGGCGGGGCCTCCGTGGGGGAGTGGGAGGGGCACGAAACCTAATGAATCAAATTGTTTTCGAATACCCTCCTCGCTCAGGCGGGGCCTCCGTGGAGGAGTGGGATGGCCACGAAACCTAAAACAATATTTTGTTTTTGAATACCCTCCTCGCTCAGGCGGGATCTCCGTGGGGGAGTGGGAGGGGCACGAAACCTGATGCACAACATGGTTTTCGAATACCCTCCTCGCTCAGGCGGGGCCTTCGTGGAGGAGTGGGATGGCCACGAAACCTAAAACAATATTTTGTTTTTGAATTCCCTCCTCGCTCAGGCGGGATCTCCGTGGAGGAGTGGGAGGGGCACGAATCCTGATACACAACATGGTTTTCGAATACCCTCCTCGCTCAGGCGGGATCTCCGTGGAGGTGTGAGAGGGGCACGAATCTTGATAAACAACATGGTTTTCGAAAACGCTCCTGGCACTGGCGGGGCCTCCCTGGAGGAGTCGGAAGGGCACGAAACCTGATACACAACATGGTTTTCGAATTCCCTCCTCGCTCAGGCGGGGCCTCCGTGGAGGGTGTGGGAGGGGCACGAAACCTGATAAACAACATGGTTTTCGAATACGCTCCTGGCTCTGGCGGGACCTCCCTGGAGGAGTGGGAGGGACACCAAATCTTTGTAAATAGCATGGTATCCCGACACTGTCCTCGCTCTCGCGTGGCTTCCCTGGAGTGGTAGGTATTTTCATACTAGCTTTGGTACGGTAGGTGTGGTACGGTATGGTAGGTATGGTATGGCATGGTAGGCATGGTATGGTAGGTATGGTATAGTATGGTGTGCTATGCTAAGTATGGTATTGTATGGTAGGTTTTGCTTGGTAGGCATGGTAGGTACGGTATGGTGTGGTATGGTATGGTATGGTAGGTATGGTATGGTAGGTGTGGTGTGATAGGTATGGTATTGTAGGGAGGTATGGTATTGGTATGGTACGTATTGGTATGATATAGTAGGGAGGCGGGAGAAGAAGAAAGAGAAGGAGGAGAAGGAGACGAAAACAAGAGCCCCGCTCAGGATGTGGGGAATTACGTCGGGGTTCTGGGTTTTTCGCACCAGGCGTCTAAGCCAGGTTTCGGGTCCCAGGGCCATCACAGCTCGATCCGGCGCGGAAACTGCCGCAGAAGGATGGGGTCTGACGATGCGCCAGTTTTTACACGACGCCGGATCTCAGGGCCCGCCGATGTGTTTTTTCAGGCCGCGCTCCAGAGGCCCCGACCGCTTCCCTCGGGGTGCGGGAAGACCGCGTCGTGTCGACTGGCGGCGACCCCGCCGGCGGCGTTCAAAGTTGACTGCCGCCGGCGACCCAGCATCTGCCGATGTCAACCGATCCCCGCGGTGTCAGGGGCCAACGCCGCGGGCGACTCGGCACGAGCCTGCCGCAGTCCTTCGCCCTGGGCCCGCCATGGATGGCCCCGGGGCCCGCCAGCGGCCCCCGAGGGCCGCGCTCGAGGGGAGGAGGCTCCGGGAAGCCACGTCGTCGGCGCTCTCGGGCCCGCGCGATCGGGGCCTCGCAGAAGGCGGCGCCCCGGCGGCGCCCTGGCCAGGCTGGAGCAGCGGGGTTTGCTGGGACGAGGCTCGGCCTGTGGCGGGCCCCGAGGCGGATGCGCGGCCGAGCTCTCGGGCCACGGAGCCGGGCCAGCCAGCGGGGCCGCTTGCCAGGAGGGAGGTGCTGTCGCCAGCGCGGCGCCCGTCGGACCAAGCGAAGAGGCGCCGCCTGCTACAGGCACAGCTCCACGCGGCGGCGTCGGATGCTCAGGGGCCGGGCTGGAATGCGGATTCCGAGCGGGTGGCCGGTCCAAGCTCGCCGTATTGTCCGTCGACGCTCTCGCTCTTCTTGTGCAGCGTCGTAGTCGCCAGGAACGCTGACCCGGGCGTCGTCGCGGAGGCGCTGCAGGTCCAAACTGCCATGGTGGTTTTCGTGCAGTACGACGGAGGGATGGATTCGGGGTTGTGTCGAGAGATGGATCAGCGTATCGAGGCAATCAGCCACAGTAGCGGAAAAGATTTTGCCATGCAGAGCTTGGGTCGGGGTGTTGTCCTGTGGCGCGCTTCGTTCATCGAGACCGTCGCGCCGGTCGCCCGTACGACGTCGTGGTCTTTCAGATTCAGGGCAATTTGGTTCAGCTACAGTCGTACGAAGCTACAGAAACCCTGGAGCGAAGATCGCAGCAGGGGTTTTCGTGCACCAGGGTAGGTGTGCACCCGTCGATTGGCCCGCGTCGTTCTGCCGAGAGGTGGTAGATGTGGTGTACAGCCAGGACGTGCGCATCATGTGTGGTGTCATGGACTGCGGAGGTCAGCAGCTCGCGGAGCTGTGCCGCAGTTGCGGGGCAGCCGGCTCAGAAGCGTTCGGAGTGCCGTTTTCCGATCCTGGCAACGACCCTCCGACCTTCGTCGTGCACCCAAACTACATCATCTTCATGGGCCCCGCGGGCAACTTCTTGCCCCAGCAGAAAGGGGGTATGGATTTGCCCGACTGGCTCCGCAGTTCGGAGCACTGTCTGGGCGCTTCGGTGCGTCCTGCGGACTGCGCGCCTCAGTGGCGGGACGAGGAGAACATCCAGCACTATAAACGCGAGCGCGAAATCAGGGGGCTCGCCCCGGTGCCCTCGCTGGGCCGACTAAACACCAAACCGACTACGGGTGCTTCCTACAAGAAGTTCTGGCGCGAGGGCATGCACCTGGTGTGTGCATTCGTTGGTCGAGGCCGTGCGAGCGCTGCGTCCAGAGCTCGCCAATGGGAAGGCCGGTCGCGGCGTTAAGGAACCGCAGCAACAGCAGGCTGTTTGCTCGCTTAGATGAGACCGCAGTAGCGGTAATTAGCCATTATGTTAGATACCGCAGTGGCGGTAATTCTTCGGTTGCGCCTAGGGGCAGTTTGCTCAGATGAGGCCGCAGTTGCGGTACTTAGCCATTGCGTCAGATACCGCAGTGGCGGTAGTGCCCGCAGTGGCGGGCCTTGCGCCTAGGGGAGGCGGTGGTCCGCGCGCCCAGGGAAGCAGAGGACGGCTGCCCCGCAGCCTCGTGGCACTGAGGTCCGCGGCAGTGTGAGGGTAGCACGAACCCGTGCGTGGGGGGGGGTCAAAGCGCGGCGCGCGGCTCGCGCGAGGCCCGGACGGCCGAGGCTGCAGTTTTGCTCGCTGAAGCGCCCGCGCGGCCAGCCGCGCGACCAGAGGGGCGATGAGAGGGAAGATGGGGAGTGCGAGAGGAAGCGGGGGGGGGGGCTTGTGGCACGGGTGCATAAGAGGGATGGCAGAGGGATGAGGAGTTGCAGTAGCAGCAGCAGCAGCGAGGAGGAGGAGGAGGAGGAGCAGGATGAAGAGGAGGAGGAGGAGGAGGAAGAGGAGGAAGAGGAGGAAGAGGAGGGGGAGGGGGAGGAGGAGGAGGAGGAGGAGGAGGAGGAGGAGGAGGAGGAGGAGGAGGAGGAGGAGGAGGAGGAGGAGGACCATGGCTCTTATTGCCAGAGGGGCGCCACCACGGGCTGATGGTGTGCGCGGGCGTTGGCCGCGAGCTGGGATAGTGGCGTCAGGCGCAGGCTAATGGCGCCTGTTGGCGGACGTGGGCCGTGACCACAAGTGCGACTTGTGGCGCTCGGCACGGGCTGGTAGGGGCTGACAGCGAGCACTTGTGCTGGCGACAGAAGCTGGGGCAAGGCCATTTGGGCTAGGCATGGACCAGCCAGGGTTACCAGTTGGCACGGGCGCTGGCGACAAGCAGGGGCAGTGGTGCTAGACAGGCAGGGGCTGGTCTTGGCTTATGGCGGGCACGGGCGCTAGTGAGAAACAGTTCCAGCCGGGCGGGGTGCGGGATAATTCCGGGCGGGCGCGGGGATTATGGACAATGCCAGCTATAGGAGACAGGCGCCAGCCAGCAGGGGTTAGTGGCGTGCACGGGCGCTGGTGGCAGGTGGGCTGCGCGCGGGCCAGCAGATGCTTGTGCCACGCAAGGGCGAGCTTCAAGCATGGCTTGACAGGGGCTAGCTCGGGGCTGACCAGGGCTAGTGGCGGACATTGGCCCTGGCAGCAAGCACAAAGGATTCTATTGAGACGGATCTGTGAGAGGTGTAAGAGGTTCCCAGTGCAAGCAATGTGTTACGAACGAGGAATTGTTTTGGACGTCTACCTCTGATGTCCTTCTCTTACTCACGCGAACGCGGTAATTACACGACCTACTTGTTCGTGTGTTTCCCCTACCCTCCGTTGTTGGGCTTTCGTTTTTGAGTAGAGCACTGTGATCTCCAGCTCCTCCCGCCTCCATCCCTGGCTCTCTCTCTCTCTCACTCTTTGTGTCGCTCTCTCTCTCTCTGTCTCTCTCTCTCTCTCTTTTCTTTCCCTCTCTCTCTCTTTCTCTCTTTGTTTGTTTCCTCTGTCTCTCTCTCTCTCTCTCCCTCTCTCTCTCTCTCTCTCTCCGTCTCCTCTTGTCTCGTACCTATCTCGTACGTGCCCCTGACCTTGCCATCCCTGGGGGGGGGCTGCGATTTGCGAAACTGGCAGCACTTTCGAGGGCTGCTGCGAGGGCCAGCACAGTGGGGCCCTACCCATATTCAGATTCGACCTCGCCATCCCTGGGGGGGGCTGCGGTCCACGAACCTGTCGGCACTGTCGAGAGTTGCTGGGGGGCCAGCACAGTGAGGCCCCATTCGGATTCAGATTAGACCTCGCCGCCATCCCCGTGGGGGCTGCGATCTGCGAGACAGCCGGCACGTTCGAGGGCTGCTGGGGAGGCCAGCACAGTGGGGCCCCATTCGGATTCAGATTTGACCTCGCCATGCCTGTGGGGGCTGCGATCTGTGCAACTGTCGGCACTTTCGAGGGCTGCCGGGGGGGCCAACACAGTGGGGCCCCATTCGGATACAGATTAGACTTCTCCGTCCCTGGCGACTGCGATCTGCGAAACCGTCTGCACTTTCCAGGGATGCTGGGGAGCTAGTACAGTGGGGCCCCACTCGGCTATCTGCGAAACTGTTGGCACTTTCGAGGGCTGCTGGGGGGGGGGCCAGCACAATGCGGCCCCATTCGGATTCAGCTTTGACCTCGCCATCCCTGGGGGACTGCGATCTGCGAAACTGTTGGCACTTTCGAGGGCTGCTGGGGGGGGGGCCAGCAGGGCCCCATTCGGATTCAGATTTGACCTCGCCATCCCTTGGGACTGCGATCTGCGACACTGTCGCCACTTTCGAGGGCTGCTGGGGGGGTCCAGCGGAGTGGCGTCTTACGCAGATTCAGATTAGACTTCGTCATCCCTGGGGGGCTGCGATTTGCGAAACTGTCGCCGCTTTCGAGGGCTGCTGCGGGGGGCAGCCTAGTGCGGTGCTACGCAGATCAGAGCGGGACCTCGCCATCAGTGGGGGGTTGCGAACTGTGAGCCGGTCGCCACTGTCGAGGGTTGCTGTGGGCTTCAGCTGAGTCACGTCGTAAGCAGCTCCATGTTGGACCTCGCCGTCCCTGGGGGGATCTGCGATCTGCGAGACTGCCGCCACGTTCGAGGGTTGCTGGGGGGCCCAGCATACCGGGGGTCTTACGCAGATTCAGATTAAACCTCTCCATCCCTGGGGGAGGAATCCGCGAAACTGTCGCCACTTTCGAGAGCTGATTGCTGGAATACCTCGAAACATCATCTCCATCCTTCCTCTGACCCTCTTTAGTCGTCACTCTCGTGCTGCTGCCATGTCCCCTTGCTGTTGCCCTGCTTACGTTTCAAACCCTCTGTCCGCCTGCTCCTCTTAGTCCTCGCCCCGCTTTCCCCTCGACCCAGGGGACTAGATACCCGCCTCCAACACGCCCGTGTCCACTGATCGCTGTCTTGCGGGCCGCGCACCTCGCGAGCCTCCCACATACCATTCGCTGAACACATATCCCCCTGCCACGTTACCATCACCTATAACGTCTGCCCAGCTACTCTAGCCACGCGTTGCGCAGGGGTTGGGTACATCGTCAGGGTAACCTGATACTATTTTGTATTCCCAGTCCTCCCTTGGTTGGTTCTATTTTTGAGTCGAGCACTGTTGGTCTCCTCCGCCTCCTCCCGCCTCCCCCCTTTCCTTCCGCCTGTTTCTGCCTCCTGCCTCTTGCTCTCTCCTTCTGCCTCCTGTTCCTGCCTGTTTCTGCCTCCTGCCTCCTTCTCCTCCGCCTCCTCCCGCCTCCCCCCTTATCCTTCCTCCTCCTCTCTCCTCCCGGCCGTTTTCTGCCTCCCGCCTCGCGCCCGCGGTCCGCGAACCTGCCGCCACTTTCGTGGGCTCCCAGGAGGTCCAGCGGCGGGGTGTCCCGCGGGCGTTAGGCGATGCTTAAGAAAACTTACGTTTTCGGCCAGAGTCTCGATGATTCTTAATGTTTCACTGTAAATCCTAATATTTTAATGAGACTTTTGTTTTTATATCAAATTCTGAGACTATGAATTTCTTAGCCCATGATTTCTTAAGCATTTCGCAGGGTGTAGGGACTTCCATGAGAGCTTTCGTGGGCTCGTGGGAGGCCCGGCGGAGGGTTGTCCCGCGGGAACCACCATGAGACCTCGCCGTCCTCTGATCGGGGGCGGAAAAGAGGGGGGTGATGACTAGGGGGGGGGTGGATCTCATGGCGGGGGCCATGATATTCCCCCAGATTTCATGGCGCCTCTTCTTGTTTCATTACGTTCCTGCCCCCCCCGCTGGGCCGCGCACATGCCGCCGGTCATGATTTGCACCCCCCTCTCTTGGACACCCCCCTCTTGGCCGCTCCCGAGAACCACCAGGAGACCTCGCCGTCCTCTGAGGGGGCTGCGACCTGCAAAACTGCAGCCACGTTCGTGGGCTCCTGGGAGGTCCAGTGGAGGGGTGTCCCGCGGGGACCACCATGAGACCTCGCCGTCCTCTGAGGGGGCTGCGACCTGCGAAACTGTCGCCACGTTCGTGGGCTCCTGGGAGGTCCAGCGGTGGGGTGTCCCACGGGGACCACCATGAGACCTTGCCGTCCTCTGGGGGGGCTGCGACCTGCGAAACTGTCGCCACGTTCGTGGGCTCCTGGGAGGCCCGGCGGGGGGTTGTCCCGCGGGGACCACCATGAGACCTCGCCGTCCTCTGAGGGGGCCGCGACCTGCGAAACTGTCGCCACGTCCGTGGGCTCCTGGGAGGTCCAGTGGAGGGTTGTCCCACGGGAACCACCATGAGACCGCGCCGTCCTCTGAGGGGGCTGCGACCTGCGAAACTGTCGCCACGTTCGTGGGCTCCTGGGAGGTCCAGCGGAGGGGTGTCCCGCGGGGACCACCATGAGACCTCGCCGTCCTCTGAGGGGGCTGCGACCTGCGAAACTGTCGCCACGTTCGTGGGCTCCTGGGAGGCCCGGCGGAGGGTTGTCCCGCGGGGACCACCATGAGACCTCGCCGTCCTCTGAGGGGGCCGCGACCTGCGAAACTGTCGCCACGTCCGTGGGCTCCTAGGAGGTCCAGTGGAGGGTTGTCCCACGGGAACCACCATGAGACCGCGCCGTCCTCTGAGGGGGCTGCGACCTGCGAAACTGTCGCCACGTTCGTGGGCTCCTGGGACGTCCAGCGGAGGGGTGTCCCGCGGGGACCACCATGAGACCTCGCCGTCCTCTGGGGGTGCTGCGACCTGCGAAGCTGTCGCCACGTTCGTGGGCTCGTGGGAGGCCCGGCGGAGGGTTGTCCCACGGGAACCACCATGAGACCTCGCCGTCCTCTGAGGGGGCTGCGACCTGCGAAACTGTCGCCACGTTCGTGGGCTCCTGGGAGGCCGGGCGGAGGGTTGTCCCACGGGGACCACCATGAGACCTCGCCGTCCTCTGAGGGGGCTGCGACCTGCGAAACTGTCGCCACGGTCGTGGGCTCCTGGGAGGCCCGGCGGAGGGTTGTCCCACGGGGACCACCATGAGACCTCGCCGTCCTCCGAGGGGGCTGCGACCTGCGAAACTGTCGCCACGTTCGTGGGCTCCTGGGAGGCCCGGCGGAGGGGTGTCCCACGGGGACCACCATGAGACCTCGCCGTCCTCTGAGGGGGCTGCGACCTGCGAAACTGTCGCCACGTCCGTGGGCTCGTGGGAGGCCTGGCGGAGGGTTGTCCCACGGGGACCACCATGAGACCTCGCCGTCCTCTGAGGGGGCTGCGACCTGCGAAACTGTCGCCACGTCCGTGGGCTCGTGGGAGGTCCAGCGGGGAGGGTCCTCTGTGCGACCTGCGGTCGCCACGAACGGAGACCACCATGAGACCTCGCCGTCCTCTGAGGGGGCTGCGACCTGCGAAACTGTCGCCACGTTCGTGGGCTCCTGGGAGGCCCGGCGGAGGGTTGTCCCACGGGGACCACCATGAGACCTCGCCGTCCTCTGAGGGGGCTGCGACCTGCGAAACTGTCGCCACGTTCGTGGGCTCCTGGGAGGCCCGGCGGAGGGTTGTCCCACGGGGACCACCATGAGACCTCGCCGTCCTCTGAGGGGGCTGCGACCTGCGAAACTGTCGCCACGTCCGTGGGCTCGTGGGAGGCCCGGCGGAGGGTTGTCCCGCGGGAACCACCATGTGACCTCGCCGTCCTCTGAGGGGGCTGCGACCTGCGAAACTGTCGCCACGTTCGTGGGCTCGTGGGAGGCCGGCGGAGGGTTGTCCCACGGGGACCACCATGAGACCTCGCCGTCCTCTGAGGGGGCTGCGACCTGCGAAACTGTCGCCACGTTCGTGGGCTGGGAGGCCCGGCGGAGGGGTGTCCCACGGGGACCACCATGTGACCTCGCCGTCCTCTGAGGGGGCTGCGACCTGCGAAACTGTCGCCACGTTCGTGGGCTCGTGGGAGGCCCAGCGGAGGGTTGTCCCACGGGGACCACCATGAGACCTCGCCGTCCTCTGAGGGGGCTGCGACCTGCGAAACTGTCGCCACGTTCGCGGGCTCCTGGGAGGCCCGGCGGAGGGGTGTCCCACGGGAACCACCATGTGACCTCGCCGTCCTCTGAGGGGGCTGCGACCTGCGAAACTGTCGCCACGTTCGTGGGCTCCTGGGAGGTCCAGTGGAGGGGTGTCCCACGGGGACCACCATGAGACCGCGCCGTCCTCTGGGGGGGCGTCGACCTACGAAACTGTCGCCGCTCTCCGCTCGTCGCCGTCCGTCGCCGCCCTGCAGGCCCTGGACCTGGCCGAGGGGGGCTTCCACATCGACGCCATCGTGGAGCGCCTGCGGGCTGCGAGAGACGAGGAGCTGCCCCGGGCCCGCCGGAGACTGGGGGAGGGGGTTCGGGTCAGCGCAAGCGGGGGTCAGCCTGAGCGCCGGATCCTGCAGGGCCAGGGGCGCACTGACCCGGGCTTGGGTGTAGGATTTTGCAGGATCTTTCGCACTGACCCGGGTTTGGGTGCAGGAGCTTCCCCGGGCCGCTGGAGAGGGGGCTGAGGGGGTGCACTGAAAATATCGCTATATTCAACGAAGTTGTTTTCTTACGCTTTTTATGGCAACCAAGGCGGATATGCGATGATCTTGAGATTGAGAATTATTGTCTGATGCTGGACGACCACTCAGAACACACGCGTTCAATGTGTGAGGGAGCTTCCCCGGGTCGCCGGAGAGGGGGGAAGGGGGGGCCAACGTTGAGAGTGGCTACGTTGAGGGCGGGGCAACTCGGGGTGTTCCGAAGCTGTCGCATATTTTTTTCTTTTGGGGAGGCGGATGCGTCGGGCGGCTTTCCGAAGTCGTCGCAGGTGTTCGGGGCCCAGGGTGGCCATTATCGGCTGCGCCTCGCCGTGTGCGTTCGGGGGGGGCCAGGAACATTTGGAACGGCCGTTGGAGAGCGGAGTTGCAACCACAAGACCGGCCGCCGAGGGGCCTGGGAGGAGGGAGCAACGTTACGGTACCCCCCGTGGGCCTGGAATCTAATTTTTGTTGTTCTCTCTCTCTCTCTCTTTCTCCACATAGGCGTATATATATGTACGTAAGCACATTTCTATGTGACTATCTATGTGTAGTGGTTGCCTCTGGGGAGAACTAGCTGAATGTATGCATTAGATATGGCGCCCATGAGTATCTCTGTGAATGTATATATGTATACATTGTGGTAGACAGGTCGGCATGAATGCATATGTGTATGTATGTATGCATGTGTGTAGATGTGTGTGTATGTATAGATGCAACATGTTGAACATCTGGACTGGGCGCATGACAGGGCCCTTGGGAGTCAGGGCTTGCGCGCCCGAAACAGCTGCAAAATACAAGGCCCCAGCCCCCGGTCTGCCGACCCCCAGTCAAGGGAGCCCCGATAATGTGTGTAATGCATGTGTGTAATGCATACATGCATCATATATGCTGTATGCAGGTACGACGTATGTACGTGTGTATACATGTATGCGTGTACGCATGTACGCATGTACGCATGTATGCATGTATGCATGTATGCATGTGTATGCATGCATGCATGCACGTATGTATGGTTGTATGGATGGACGGATGGATGGATGCATGCATATGTGCATGTATGCAAGCATGCATACCTTTATGCATCCATATATGTATGTATGCATGTATGTATGTATGTACGCATGTATGTATGCATGTCAGCATGCATGTATGCACATATGTATTCGGATAGGCGCCATGTGTAGATAGGATTCACACGTTGACAGGTGAAGATGTACCTATCCGCGTGTAAATCATATCCAGGCCCTTAGAGCTAGATTTTGCGCAGGGCGACGTGGACCGTGTGGGCCCGCCTTCCTCTTCCCCACTCTCCGCAGCTACTCTCGTTCCTCATCCAATATTGCCCCGGCCAACCCGAACCCGTCCTCGTCCTACAAGAAATAATGTTTATGCAGTCTTTGTTCTTCGAGAGCGCTGAACGAGCAATCCCTGAACGCCGATCCCAAAAAATCGCGTGGACCTCGAATTTAACATGTTTATGCTGTGTTCGTTTTCCAGGGCGATTGAACGAGCAGTTCCCTGCACCCGGGGAAGGCCTCGGAGAGAACGAGCAAATCGCATCGGCAAAGGCGCACGCCCGGCGCGCAGGTCAGGCAAATGCTCGTGCGTCGACCAGTTGGTAGTCATCGACGGCCGAGGCCGTCGTCGCCGTCGGCCATCGTCAGCATCCATCGTCACCGTCATTCTCGTCGCCATCGTCGTCGTCGTTGTCATCATCGCTACCATCATCACTATCACGATCACTATCACCATCATCATCCTCCTCATCATCATCATACTCATCATCATCATCATCATTATCATTCGCATCCATCATCCCGCCACCACCACCATACTCAGCATCATCAGCATCATCAGCATCATCAGCATGATAGTCATCATTATCGTCATCATCGTACTCATATTCATCATTATCATCACCATCATCACCATCACCATCGCCATCTCCATCATCGTCATCATCATCAGCATCACCAGGATCATCATTACCGCAATCGTCATCATCATCAGCATCATCATCATTGTAAGTATCACCATCATCACCACCATCATCATGATGATCATCATCACCATGATCATCATGACCGTGTTCATCGTCGTCGTCGTCGTCAACATCCTCGTCGTCGTCGACTGCGTCCGCGTCGGTTGGCGGTTGGCGCCCCCCGACACCGCCGGTGGACATGGAACAGGGCTGGCGTCGGCAGACAGGTCGGACCGGGCGAGGCGCCTGGCCTCCTCCGCGCTGCCCTCGCACTCCGGGTCGTGCCCCCGTGCCCACTCACAGCACGTCGACCCGGCCGCCCAGGTCCTCCCACGGCGCGCCGCGGAGGGCGGGCCCCAAGCGGGGGGGGGGATCGATCGTGGCGACGCAGGGGGGGGGAGAATAGAGGGGGAGGTGGCGGGAGGAGGAGTGAGGAGGAGGAGGAGGAGAAGGAGGAGGAGGAGGCGGAGGAGGAGGAGGAGGAGGAGGAAGAGGAGGAGGAATGAGGATGGAGGAGGAGGAGAGGAGGAGGAGGGAGAAGGGAGAAGGAGGAGAAGGAGAAGGAGGAAGAGGAGGAGGAGGAGGAGGACGAGGAGGAGGAGGGGGACGGCGGAGGAGGCGGGGGAAAGAGGAGGAGGGCGGCCCGAGATACGTGCGCGGCCCACGGGGCAGCCAAGGGGCGCGGTGAACGAAAAGAGGGGGCTACGAAGTCTGAACAGAGAGGGGGCATCCAAGAGGGGGGCGTCCATCTAGGCCTCCTCAATGGGGTCGGAGGATCGCGCCGCATCGCCGATGCACAGGCGATGCGGCTCGATGTGGAGCCCGATTTGCTTCACGTCGATGTCGCCGATGCATCGCCCACGTCGACGATGCATCGCCAGTGCATCACCGATGCATCGACTATGCATCGGCGATGCGGCCCGATCCTCCGACCCCATCTGCTCGGACTCCATTTAGGAGGCCTCTAGTCCAAGAGGGGGGGTCACAGATAAGGGCCGCGGCCCGCTGTTGCAACTCGCGGGAGCCTACCCTGTCATCGTGTTGTTGGTTCTTGCGCGTTGACTCCAGTGGTCGACGCTGAAGCGACGCGACACCACGCCGATCGACGCTAATTAACTAAATCGACGCGTTCTCAGCGATGATCAGACTCTGGCGCACGCCCAAGCACCCGACGGACGGAATTACGAGCACACACGAGGCTCGAATGATTTGCTACCGAACAGAAGAGGGGGCCACGAAATCGGGGCAGACCTCTGGTCGGCGTCCTCCCAACATACTGATGCTATGTGCGCGTCGACCCCCCAGGGGCGATGCGCGCACCGAGAAATCTTCTAGTACACGCGTCGTGGCAGGCGCTTTCTGGCCACACCGCTCGGGAAACGATATACTACAAGATGAGTATACTATTTGTTCGGGCGGGTCGGACGCACGCCTCCAAGGAGGACATGTAGTACGAGTACGTCCTTCTGCGTCCCATCTTGCCCCGGTTACGATATCCCTCCCGTGGTCAACGCCCCCCCCCACCCTTGGCACCCGCCGAGGGCGGGGCGACCTCTTGTCCTCATGTGAGTCCACGTCTCGCCCTTGTTCGCTCGGCATCTTCCTTTCCTTCTTGCCTGTACCCATCGGTCGTTGGAAGTGGGTATTTTTGGATTCCCAGATTCCAATCTACTTTATGCGCCTTCCTACTTCAATGATCCAGTGGCTTCACCTTTTTCGTCCTTCTTACGGGGCGGGTGGACACCCAACCTACGTCCAACGCCTTCCCACTTCATGCTTCTACCTGTCTCCCCTTCTGCTCTCCTTCCCTCCTTCACTCTCCTTCTCCCTCCTTCCCTCTCCTTCTCCCTCCTTCCCTCTCCTTCTCCCTCCTTCCCTCTCCTTCTCTCCCGATGCTGTGCTCTGGTCCTCCTCTTCCCACTCCGCTCCTCCCTCTCCCGCCATCCTCCGCTCCGGCCGCTCCTCCGCGGCAGGAGGTCAGGCTGGCCGTGGGGGAGAAGTCCAAGGAGACTGGCCACTCCGTCCCCTGTCCCTCGTGGCTCCTCTGTCCTTTCCGTCCATCGTCCCTCGACCCCCGTCCCTCCTCTCCGTTCCTAGTCCCTCGTCTCTCGGCCCTCCTCTCCGTCCCTCGTGCCTCGTCCCTCGTCTCTCGGCCCTCGTCCCTTGTCCCTCCTCTCTCGTCCCTCGTCCCTCGTCCCTGCTCTCCGCACCTCGTCCCTCGTCCCTCGTTTTTCGTGCCTCGTCTCTCGTGCCTCGTCTCTCGTGCCTCGTCTCTCGTGCCTCGTCTCTCGTCCCTCGTCCCACGGGCCTCGTCCCTCGTCTCTCGCCCCTCGTCCCTCGGCCCTCGTCCCACGTGCCTCTGTCTCTCTCGTCCCTCGTCCCTCCTTTCCGTCCCCTGTCCCTCGTCCCGCGCCCTTCTCGCATGTGTTCTCCGTGAGGCTCCACGGCCTCCAGCCGAGGAGCAGATGGTGGAGATGTGGCAGGGAGGGAGGACGAGGAGGGAAGGGAGGGGTGCGAGGGAGTAGGGAGAGCGAGGAGAAGGGAGCGGGATGGAGAGGGTAGAGGGTTTGGATGGATATCACTCGAGGCCAGAACGCACCGCGCTCTGATTCTAGGGCCCTGGTAGCGTCCCTTGTCTATAACGGGAGGCCCCGTTCATTGTCGTTTAAACCACGTTGGTGCAATATAGGTGGTGCTGTCCATGTGCTGCACTACTCTACGTGGTGCAATCCATGTGGCGCATTTTTTGTGGTGCACCTACTGCAAAACGATTCAATGCAAACCAATGCGAAGCAATGCACATCAACGCAACTTAAGGCAACGTACTGCAAATCAATACAACGCAATGTCAAGCAACGCAACGCACTGCAAAGCAGTGCATAGCAGCGCAAAGCAACGCAAAGCAATGCAAAGGCGGCGACGGGAGGTAGAGGCATCGAAAAGCGCGGCGACCGACACCCAAGCGCAGGAGCAACGGCGACGGACGGCGGCGACGGGCGGCTACGGCGACAACAATTGCCTTGTTCACCAACGGCTGCCCATGAGATTGAGCTTCTCGTTTGATTATGATGTGTAGCTTTGTTGCCAGCCCACCAAGACAAGTATCTAGGGCAACTCTGCGTGCCTCTTCTGTTTTGACAAAACGTTGCCGCCATGTTCGATCAACCAGCCATGGGCGATGACCTATTCGTGTTGTCAAGGGGTTCATCTCTTCCAGGCGCGCATATCCGTTGGTAGTTGCACGGTGACTTTGCTGGTCGGCCAGTCAAGAGGTGAGAAGGTTTTGGCTTTGGCGTGGGGCCTGGGGGGGAAGGAGGAGGGATGGGTTAGGGGACAGGGCGGGGGTACACAGCACCTGCGGCAGGAGGGCCTATGGAAGACAACGGGCACAGTCTACGCGCGTGCATGTGCTGCGTCGTCTTCAGCTGCTGCAACAGAGGCATCCGCTTCTCGCTGAAGTGGCCGGCCCAGGCACCCGTCGCTGGACGGCGTGGTCACCTACGCGGGCCTCGCATTACCAGCCTGGAGCATATCCCTATCCCCATGCTGGGCATCTCCTCATCACGATGCCAATCTTGGGGGTTTCCTTATTTTTTGAGGGCGCATCCCTAAGATTGTCATCGCCTTTTGGCGTGTCAAACTTAGGGATAGGGATCAGCTCGAGGCTGGTAATCGCACCGCGAAGCGAAGCCGCTGCGTCTGCGGCGCCGGCCCGGCGCGCGCCGCTGCCCCGCGCGCGTCGCGGCTGCCACGCCGGGAGGGAGCCCGCGCGCGGGCGATCGCGGCCTCCCGGCGCGGCGGAGTGCGAGGGCGTCGCGGCCAGCGGCGTGCCTCGGGAGTGGCTCGACTCGGCCCGTGGCCGACGCGTGGTGTGCATGGCCGGAGTGTCCGACGAAGGCATCTATACACCACCACCGTGCCAGGCCAGGGCCATCCTGGGCCCCAGGATGGTGTATAGACCCTCTTGGCCTCGGCCAGGAGGGCGTATACACCATCCTGGGGCCCAGGATGGCCCTGCCTTGGCACGGTGGTGGTGTATATATGCCTTCTGCGAAGAACGGACCAGGAGCTCGCGGAGACGCTCGGCGGCGACGCTGGCCTCGTCGGGTGCCTCGCGGGCGCGATGGTGGAGGCGTGGCGCTTGCTCGAGCCACTGGTGGGGGAGGCAGAGGGGGGCGAGGGCAGCTCGGACGCGTCGGTCCCGGAGAAGATTGCGCGCGCGGGCGCGGGAGAGAAGATAGCGTACCCTCTGGCGCGCTGCTGGTGCGGCCTGGCAGTTGCACGACACCAGCGCGAGCGCGAGAGCGACTCCAGCGCCGCTGGCGCGCGCGGCGGCGCGCAAGAACTTCGGGCACGGCAAAGTTCTGATGGCTTTGCTTGTTTCGCGTGTCTTTTGGTGTGCGCGGCGTTATTGCCTCCCGCCCGGCCGCGGTCCAAACCGCTTGTCTCAGCGGGCACGACCGCCCAGAGTGAGCCAGATCTAGCCTGGCAGCAAACCCGACTAGCCATCAAAGCAGGCTGCGCAGCCCAACAGTGGACCAGACCCCGCCCATTAGTGAACCAGGCCGCCCATCGCAGCAAGGTAGGCCGCCCGCCCACAAGTAGACCTGACCCCGCCCGACAGTCAACCAGACCGCCCACCGAAATAGGCCAGACCGCGCCAGAGTAGGCCTGACCCCGCGCAAAAGTAAATCAGACCGCCACCCAAAACACACTTGGCAAGCTGAAAGTAAGCCAGACTCCGCCAAACAAGAAACAGACTCGCCAAGTCAAGCCAGACCAGACCCCGCCCACAGACCGAGACAGACACCGCCCGAGAGCAACCGAGAACAACAGAGAGTAAACCAGACCGTGTGGCGCATGGCGGCGGCGATGCTGATGGCGACGATCTTGGCGATCGCGATTGGGGCTGTGGCGGCGATGACGGCGACGGGATGGCGATGCGGGTCATGATGACGGAGGCGATGGTGATGGTGATGATATCACGGTGACGACGTTGGTGAGTTGGGCGGAAGAAGGAACTCGAATGATGAGAACAGGAATTGAACACGACGGTGGACGGGGGATGGAGGAACGATGGTAAAGACAACGCGGACAGTGACGGTGAGAAGGATGGAAAGGATAGAAGGGGCGGATGAGAAGGAGGAAGAGGAGGAGGGTGGCAAGACGGTGTGGGGCGATGGTGCGAAGAAGAAAGCGGGGGTGGTTCAGGAACCGAGAGAGGCGCAGCCGGCGAAGCGGGCTGGGCCACCCATCAAAGCAAGCCAGACCTTCCAAAAATAGACCAGAACTCGCCGAACAGTAAACCAGACCGCCCGTCACACCAGGCCAATCCTTCAAAACATGGACCCGACCCGGCCGCGAAGTAGGCCAGACCACCCAATAGTAGATCAGACCCCGCCCAGCAGTATACGAGACCACCCATCAGAGCTAACCAGACCACCCAAAGTAGACAGGACCCCGCCCAAACGTATACGACACCACCCATCAAAGCAAACCAGACCATTTAAAAGTAAAACAAACCCCGACCAAACGTGCGCAACAGCACCCATCAAAACAAGCCAGACCACCCAACAGTGGACCAGAACAACGCAAGCTAAAACACCCAATAGTAGACCTGGGCCCGCCCAACAGTTCATCCGACCGCCCATCAGCGCAGGCCAGACCGCCCAAAAGTAGACAGACCCCGCCCAGAAGTAGAGCAAGTCACCTGCCAAAGCGGGTCAGGCCACCCAGCCTTACACCTGAGCCGCCGCAAAGTGCACCACAGCGCCCACCAAACCAGGCCAGACCACCCAAAAGTAGACGAGACCCCGACCAGACCACCCATCATTACAGGAGTGTGCATAATGGCGACAGCAGAGGTCGCAAGGAGGAGGAGGAGGAGGAGGAGGAGGAGGAGGAGGAGGAGGATTTTCACATGAACCTTCCCCTGGTGAGTGCACGCCAGGGCAGAAAAGCAGTGCCAGCGGATGGCGCTGCACACAAAAAGGACCGAGGCGGTGGCCGACGCTTACGACGGCGGCACCCCCAGAGCCTTACGCGAACAGCTCTGACGGACAGCGGGGCCAACCCTCCCCTACGGGGGCGAGGAGGCAGAGACTGACCTGCGCCATGAGCAGCTGGGGCCCGTCGTTGCGGCCGGCTGCCCGAAGAGGGGCGCATTTGGTCGGACTCCTCTCCGCCAAAGCGAAAGCACAAAAGTAAAAGGCCGGACGTTCAGCACAAAAAACGGCCACCCGCGCAAGGACGACGATGCCCCGCCGCCCCAGATGTTGACGCGCCAGGACGATGGCAGGACCCCGCCCCAGATACGGGGCGAGCGCACGGATGCCTGCCCACTGGGTCAGTCGCATCGGGCCGTGCGCCCGGGCACTGAACAGGCTGGCATACAAACCTCCATGCGAAACAGGTATACATAAACACTAGTCACGACGTCAGTGCCCCCAGAAAAGAACGACCACCCGCGCAGGGACTACGAGACCCAACCGCCCCTGGTGCTGGAGCGCCAAGGCGGTGGCTAGGCCCCGCCCCAGATGTGGGGCATGCACGCGGATGCCTGCCCGTGGGTCAGTCGCATCGGGCCGTGCGCGCGACTGGGTGTATTGCCTGACAGGGAGACGCAGAGAGATGAAGAAAGTGACCAATCCGAGCTCCCTGAAGAAAGAACACCTGTCTGCTCGTTCCTTTCCAACGGATCAGACCGTCGAGCTCCGACGGAGCCCCGCTGCCAGGTCCGCGATCTTCGATCGAGGTGTCACAGACTGAAAGAAGCTGTCCGCCGGGCTGCCCAGTCCGTCCCGCTTCTTGCCGCTGCGTACGACAAGACGGCGGCATGACGGGCAGCGTCGCGGTCATTTGGTAGACATCCGGCGCATCAGCAGGGCCGAGGAGGAAAGCGGACGCTTCCTCCTCAGCATCAGAGACCTGACATTTTTTCCCGTGGGCCTCACTTGGCCTCCTGGGACGAGAGGGGGGGGAGAAGCTCCAAGGGTAAGATGGCCCAGGCTCAGCAGCGACCGCGACGGCAGCAGGCGACGACGTCGACGGGTCAACGACTTCTTCCTGTTGCTGGCTCGGGGCGGGATCACTCAACTCGGGGCATTCCTCATGCGAAACCTCCATGCAGACCCCGTCGCGCCGATGATACTTACCCTTGCACACGCGGTACGTCCACCGCTCAGCACCACCCCTCGTGGGGTGGGTGCATGTTTTCCCACGGGCGCGAGCGGGCCCAAGGTGGAAGCCGCCTTGCGCGAAAAGCAAACGAAAAACTGGAACATATCACTTCACTGGAATGAGAGTAGCCTGCGACCTAGAGCCCCGACGTTGCTGAGGCCGTCGGGGAAACTGCCCGAGCATCCTGAGGGGTCGGGGCAGGGCGAGGATCCAGACTGGAAGCCGGTCTGCCTTTGAATCCGCAAGTGCACTCTGCGACGCCAGTAGGAACGACTCCATCCCCAATCGTGCTGGTAATTGGTAGCAGCGGCCGACTGCTCTTTCTTTGGGGGTCTGGCCAGCTCGACGCCGTTGAGATCGCTGCGAGGCCACGGCGGCAAGAGCTCGGCACTAAGTCGAAGAACCGCCTCGACCGCCCGAATCTTTCACGAGAGGTCATCCTGCAACTCGTTGGTAGCAGGGGGAAGGCCTGCCTTCGCGGCAGCGTCAGCTGCGTCGTTGCCGCGCCTGTTGAAAACCTGCCGAGGTGTGAGATCGCCAGAGTCTCTGGCGTGAGCTCTGACCTTGTCTATTGACTCCCGTGCGGCGGCAGGGGAGGTGAGCGTCGTGCCTGAGCGCGGGCGCCCATTGGAAATCTTCAACGCCATGGGCCTCCCAGAAGCTCGGACAACATCGAGGCGGTCCGAGGCCCCAAATTCCCCCGACTGTCTTTTTTTTTTTTTGGGGGGGGGGGGCGCGTGGGGCCATGGGCCGAAGTCGCGAGGGCGCCGGTATCTGACGGGGCTGTAAATCCCCAGCTCGCCAGGGGCAACTCCTTGATTGTGTGCTTTTGACGTCTGCCATCGGTGACAATATCACCTGAAACGCCGGCATCGATTCTAGAGGTCGCCTTCCCAGGAGACAGCAGCGCCCCCAACGCCTCGGGGTCGGGGCAGCTGGTCGCCAGGGCGAGGGCAGATGCCCATGGTTGAATGGCAAGGCTGTCGGCGCTCGCAGGGTCACGTGAGCGGGCTGCCTCCCGGATGTCGCTTTTGACCGGCTCTTCTCTCATCTCTTGTGCGCCGGGGCAGAACCGCGCCCGATGCGCGATGGGGTCGGGGGCGGCTCTGCGTAGAGGGCGCAACTCTGAACCCGACTGGCATCCGCGCGAGATGACCCGATCACGAGACCAGGTGGCCCCACAGCACATACCGCGGATGCAGCCCATCCCGAGAGCCGTGAATTCCGACGAGCGGAGAGCGGCCTCAACCACGTCGTAGCAAACTCTAGACTGCATTCCCAACGAACGCCCAGATTCTCGCTGCAGCTGCCGCGGCACTCCATCCCGAAGAGCCTTTCTGACGAGGGCAGGGGAGAGCATGGTGAGAGCCAGGACCTCGCCGAAATCGTTGCTAACTCGGTGACAGAACGCACGGGCCACCCGTTGCGCCCCAACAACACTTTCATGGCCCCGATGGGGCTTCGAACAGTGCGCCAAGTAAGTTCGCCCCCCCGAGCTTGACCTGGGCCAGCTCGCTGAAAAATAAGCCCCCATGGCGACCGAATGGCGGGCGACGGAAGAGGATGCTTGAAGATGCGATCTTGATTTGCCCACGCTTCTCTAAATCTCCCTAGAATGCCGCAGAACTGGAATAACAGCGGCATGCCAGCAAGGATCTCTTTCCAGGATGAGGAGGGAGGCGAGGCCCCTCGTGCCCGCGGATGGTTTCAAGACTCACCCGGGGCCTCGTCAAAGCCCAGCGGGTTCATAGTCCGAAACCCCCGTGGACTTCGGAAGCGCGCGTGGCCCCTGCGAGAGGCCCTGCTGAAAAAAAAAAGACCCCCCTGGAGTCCGCCGGCCCAAGACGGCGCGAACGTGCTTCAGTTTGGAGACGCGAATCTTGAAAGACCGCGGCCCGCTTGCCGGCGGGGCCGTCCTATCGCGCCACCCGCGCCTAGGCTCAACGCCGTGCT